TGATACTCTTTATAAAACACACTCTAAAATTCATTAATGTGGATACTCCTTTACTAACATCGCCACAAATATGAACATCCATAATTTTAAATTGATCAAAACAATCACACATTTCTATAAATTGTCTGGAACCAGAAAGCATAGATAAAGCTGAAATAGTATGAACATCACTATAATCTCTTCCACCAAGATGTTTCATAGCACCCTTCCATTCAGTTGATACGGGAATAGTAACAGTAAGTTCTTGTCTCTGATTACGTTTTGAAATATCAACAGTAGCTTTAGTTGGACTATATTTCTTGTGCTTAAAGGTTGAATTAGATGAAAACGACATAAACTGATATTATAAGATCCAAGAGAAACTGGAAATATCAATGAATACGGAAGTAAGTATTAAAGACCTAATAAACATTTGTAATATCCTACAAATGAATCAATACGACATTGTTTTAGAAAAGGAAACAATAACTCTAAAAGATATACCAAGTTTACTTGTAATAAACAAAATAAAACTAACAGGAATTAATCCAGATAATAATGAAACCCAAACACAAATAAATGAACAACCAACCAATCATATAATCATAACTTCTGAAAATGGTAATACTCAAACATGGCAATCTCTAAACATTCCAACTTCAACTGTAACATTTCTAACAATGAGAGATGATGATAATCATGAAATAATGATTACAGAAGGAACTGGAATCCTCTACGTAGTAATGACCTTTGACTTGAAAGATCACACAATACATTTTGGTGCATACAAAAATCAATGGTTCAATATCACCCCTCAAAAAAACATAATAATATTTCCTTATAGATTAAATTATAATGATTCAACCAAACGTCTATCATTAACATTAGAAGGCAGTGGAAGAGAACAAAATCCAAATCAACAATTCATTGAAATAGACTTAGAAATTAACGGTGGAGTCTCAACAATTTCTCCAGGTCTTTTTGATGAAATTTGGATCAAATACTTCAACAAAGAAAATTAAATATCTAATTGACTAATTATTCGACTCATCTCATTAAACATTTAAACAATGGAAACAGAGATAAACCTAACAAACCTTATAAAAACATGTAACAAAATAAATCAAAATTCTTTCGAATTAATTTCCGAAAAACAAACAATTTCTCTAACAAATATACCAGATTTAGAAACAAACCAAACAATAAATTCTATAACTTTATCTTCTTACATAACCCAAAATGGAAATTATACAATTCAAACACCATCTGATTATGATGGAATAAAAGAAGTGAACCTCAAAATAGATGTACCTCCTAAAACAGAAGATATGTTAGTAAAATTAATAAACCAGAATGGTCAACAATCCTTCTTTCCTGAACCAAATCATACTTTCAATCAAGTATCAATAACAACAGATGTCAGACCACCTCTTCAAACACTAACACATACATTCACAAATAATGGAAATTACACCCTCAAACCAGACGAAAATCATTACGGACTAAAAGAGGTCAATACAACAATAAACGTACAACCTGCCCTACAATCAAAAAACATATCAATCCAAGAAAACACTACAACAACTTACACACCAGATTCAAATTATTCTGGATTTTCAGAGATTACAATAACCACAAATATACCAGAAGAAACACATATATTCAACAAACTATATTATTCAAATGGAAGTACAATCTCTCCAATCAACTATCCTACTCTCATAATAGACCTTCCTACCAACACGGAAGAATCCAGTTGGTCTGAACTCAACATTCCCTACTCAGAAAAGACAACACTTATAAGATCCAAATACACAACCAGACCATTTTACATAAAACCGCCAAATTCCATGGGTTACTTAACATTAAAATTCTCCAATAGTGGGAAAATAATACCACAATACTTATACGACGACCAACTCTCCTTAGCAGCACAAGAAAAAGCATTAATAATTCCACTCCAAGCCATTTCAACAGCTAACCTGAACACCTTACTTTTATTAATGTTAAACGATGATGATGACATAACACAACAAAAAAATTCAATGACTATAACCATTGCAAAAAACACGTACAGCAATGCTCATTTACCACCATCACTTTTCTCAAATCGATGGAAAGCATTAAATAATTGAATTCATTCGTGAAATTTTAACGTTGTCAGTTGTCAGGAAAATAAGAGTGAAATAACAACCGAAGGGAAGTACATGTAACGATTTCCTGACGGCTGATAACATTAAATCAAACAAAGGAATTCTATTGTTTTATATCTCATTTTTGTCAGTTGTGCCAATATTATGTCTAAACTGACAACTGAGGTCCAAAATATATATATATATATACTGATATATATTTTTTATTATATTTTATAATATATTTTATTATATTTTACTATAATTTTTGTCAGCGCTGTCAGCTGACATTTCTATTTGTACTTTTTTAGATTTTTTTTGTTATCTATCCCATAATTCTATTTATATTTGATTACGTATTGATGAGTCAAATCTATTTCTATAAATATATTTGAGTTGTTGCCACGTCAAATCTATTTCTATAAATATTTCTTACGTATTTCCACGTCATCATTCTATTTCTATTTTTAATTACCACGTCATCACATTCCTTTTTGTGATCATTGCTGTGTTCTATTTTTAGAACACTATCATACCTCACAAATTTCTTAATAATTTGTG